ATGTGTAATATATATGCTATTGCCAAGTAAGGGACTCTGGGCCTTCGTCAAGTGGCTGTGAAGGCTTTTTCCTAGGTGTCCCTCCAGATTGTTTTCTGGTAAATAAAACTGAACTGAATTGCATCTATCTATCTATCTATATCTCGATATATATATATATATATATATATATATATATATATATATATATATATATATATATATATATATATATATATATATATTCGCATACATTTGGGTGCTCTCGTTATCACCCCTTAACTGATTTGCAGTTATACACCGGGGCAGCCCTATTCTTCTGTATGTGTTCAAGCGTGGTTATTCAATATAATTGGTACGATGACTAATCATACAGCACATACAAATTCAAGTTGTGGTCGTAAAAACGTCAGATGAGCTAATTAACAAACACTAGTAGTGGAATATTTCGAATTGTGCCTCAGAAAATGATGTGTTTTCGATGCGGTAGCGCAAATATTGTTACTGCACGATGACGAAGCAATGTTAGTAGTGACGCTCACGCCAAGGTATTTGTGGTTACAGGTACGTGACTAGGTCGTATAACTAAAACTGTATGTCAATATGAAACTTGTGAATTTTAGCGAAAACAATTAAGTTTTACACTTAGAAGGGTTCAAGGAAAATCTTCCTTTGGTGCTCCAGTCGGTAATAGTGTGAATGTCATGTTGTAAGGTATTGTAATAGTTAGTGGAATTAATTGCTCTCTAAACAGCACAGTCATAGGTAACTAGTCGTATGAAAGAGGAAATGTAACGAGGGTAAGTTATTATTAATTATTAGGAATGGTAAAAGCCACAGGACACTCCCCTGTGGGACACCAGACATGACCTCAGTATTAAATGAATGACAGTAGTTAACAACCGTTAATTGATTGCCAAGAGATGAAAAGTTTCTCGGTCAAAGCCAGAACAGTAGATGCTGGGAGGCTACATCTGATCCTGCAGTGGTTTGTGGCCCAAGTTAATGAAGTCTTCTCTAGAATAAATGAGCAGAAAATAGGAGCAGGTTTTTTTTTTTCGTTATACGCTTGCACCTGCTGTGCTCAGTAGTGGGGCTTGTGTAATTTTTGTGGGCCGTATAGCCACCTTCGGTTTTCGGCGTACATCAGAGTGTTTGTGACCAGCTTAATAAAAACTCTTTTAAGAAGGCGTTGTGGAAGCTATCGAATCGCCTTATCGGCAAACGTGCAGAGAGCTTGCTCATACATCTCGCAGGCGTGCTCTTCTCGGGTGGCAGGTGCCAACTAAGAGGTAAATTTCTTGCGCTGCGTTAATATAAACGTTAGGTTCGCTCTTACAAAGCGACCTTGGTTCCTACCGAAAGAAGACTATCGAGGTGAGAATCTCTAGTGGCTAAGGTACTCGGCTGCTGACCCGCATGGCACGGGTTTCGATTCCCGGCTGCGGCGCTGCATTTCCGATGGAGGCGGAAATGTTGTAGGACCCGTGGCACTCAGATTTTGGGTGCACGTTAAAGAACCCCAGGTGGTCAAAAATTTCCGGAGCCCTCCACTACGGCGTCTCTCACAATCACAATGGTGGTTTTGGGACGTTAAACCCACATATTAATCAATCAAGCGAGGTGAGAAATATGACTTATGTAAAACTGCTGGTCTATTATAAAATTTGCCGAGACCCAATGTGCATCGTTGCGTTACGCAAAGCCCCGCAGGTCGCGGAATCGAATCCCGGTCTGCGGGGGCGCAATTTCCGATTGGAGGCGGAAATGTTGTAGGCCAGTGTGCTCAGATTTGTGTGCACGTTAAAGAACCCCGGTGGTCGAAATTTCGGAGCCCTTCATTACGGCATTTCTCAAATCACATGGTGGTTTTGGCACCCCACATAATCAATCATGTGTACGCCAATGCTACACATTGAACAGCTTTTGGCCGCACAAATCTGCCATAATAATCTGACTGGGTTAGGAGAGGAAAACGCAGTCTCCAATATTTTTCAGGCCTTTAGGTGCCAAAATTATCAGAAAATTGTGCGGGATCGCCGTACTAGACGCCACCGGAAATCCGGACATCGGGTGCTATCCCACGCTGACCAACTTTAAATGCATGACCGTCAAACATTTTCGCCTCTATCTAGGGGCGAATTCCATGGCCAAAATTCAATCCCGCGATTCTAGGGTCCGCGTAAAGCTCCATAACCATTAGATCACCGTGGCTGGGCGAAATCATCCCCTTCGCAAAACGGTAGCTAATTCAAAACTTGGTGATAGGCAAAAAAAAAACAAGAATGGAAATACACCAAAAAACAAAAAAATATTACGCACAACTTCACCATTTAGAACTAGTGCATCAAATTGAAATGCCGCCACTCTCACAATTAAGAGGTCTTGCACCAATTCTTAGGCTGTACTCAACTATAGCTAAAAGCGTGTGAACGCTCGATTTTGGAAAACTACCTCTTCTCGATTTAACGTAACGAAAAAAACCCTACGCGCTTTCCGATTACTGAATTGTTTTCGACTGATATACAACCCAATAGCGAGAAAATCTACAATTAACGAAGCGGGTAAAAGGTCTCGTCTAGCTGAACAATGCTTTCTACCTGAACTTTAGTAGTTTGTAACAGGTATGAAAGGGGTGGAAATGTCTAGTTTTAGGGGAACTGGCACACTGTCACGGTGAAGCGATTCGTTGGTAATAACTATAGTCGTTACATGAACGCGGGGAAAACAATCGAGTACATGTCATTTTGTAAGTATGTACAAGGGCAAATATGAAGAACGGAGGGACACGCTTCAGTGCCCTTTTAGGGGCTAAGCTCCTTTTAATCTAACTTTGTCCTGCGTGAGGCTAATCATTAGTATGTTGCAAAGAGGCAGACAAACAGATAGACAAAGAGATAGACAGACAAATGGACGACGGACAAACAGATGCATGGAAGGAAGCACGGACGGACGGATGGATGGACTGATGCACTACCGGATGGTACGAATGCACGCACAGCTGTACGGACAGATAAACGGACTGACAGACGGATGGACAGACAGACAGACAGCAGACACACACGGACACGCACACACAAACGAACAGACAGACAGACGGACAGATGGACCGACAAACAGACATACGCACACAAAGATGAACGGACAGACAGACACACAGATAGATATACAGACAGACACACAGACGGACAGACGGATACACAGACAGACACACACACAGACGAACAGACAGACAGACGGACAGATGGACAGACAAACAGACAAACGCACACGAAGACGAACGGACAGACAGACACACAGATAGATAGACAGAGAGACACACAGATGGACGGACGGACACAAAGACAGACATACGGACACAGACGAACAGTCAGACAGACGGACAGATAGACAGACAAACTGACATACGCACACAAAGACTATACGGACAGACATACACACAGGCGGATGGACGGACACACAGACAGACACACAGACACACATACAAAGATGAACAGACAGACAGACGGACAGATAGACAGACAAACAGACATACGCACACAAAGACGAACAGACAGACAGAACACAGATAGATAGACAGACAGACACACAGGCGGACGGACGGACACACAGACACACAGACACACATACACAGATGAACAGACAGACAGACGGACAGATAGACAGACAAAGAGATATACGCACACAAAGACGAACGGACAGACAGACACACAGATAGATAAACAGACAGACACGCCGGCGGACGGACGGACACACAGACACACATACACAGACACACATACACATACACAGATGAACAAACAGACAGACGGACAGATAGACAGACAAACAGACATACGCACACAAAGACGAAAAGACAGACAGGCACACAGATAGATAGACAGACAGACACACAGGCGGACGGAATGGACACACAGACCACAGACACACATACACAGATGAACAGACAGACAGACGGACAGATAGACGGACAAACAGACATACGCACACAAAGACGAAAAGACAGACAGACACCACAGATAGATACAGACAGACTCACAGGCGGACGGACGTACACACAGACACACAGACACACATACACAGATGAACAGACAGACAGACAGACAGACAGACAGACAGACAGACAGACAGACAGACAGAAGATGCACGACGCTTCACCTAACTCAGCATCATTCACTCCGTGGATATGCTGTGATGTTTTTGTTGTCCTTTTTCTGGTCACGTGTCGGTGGGAACCAATACAATAACACCCAGCTGCATACAGTATTCTTCGGCGAGCTGAACTTACTTCTCTCATATGGCTCTTTGGCTCAGTCGCAGGCGTATATAAACTATCTAGCTTACTTGCACCGAGTGCAAAAAAAGAACGAAGAGCGGCCGACACGTGTAGAAATAATCAGTATTGCTCTGAATCGTGTGCATCACGTCATGATCTTTGGTTTGCAAGCCACCAGGCTGAGTAATTAACAAAAATTTATTAACTTTTACCTGGTTACTTTAACGAGAAATCTTGATTCGAAAAGTTGTTAGCTTTTTTTTCTGAATAATCAGAATACTTCGTCCTGAGAAAACTGCCAGTAAATCAAACTGGTTAGTTATGGGAAATTGCTTAATTAACACTTAATATAGTAGCACCAAGGCCAAATGTTCAATAAGAAATTCTAACGGTTCTTCGGCATTTCAGATTATTGCATGATTACTGATCAGCCATTATCTAGTCAATATTCAGGAATATTAGCGAATGCTAAGCAATGCTACTGACATGCGATAGAATGCAGTACGCCCCGCTGGTAACCGTTCACAGATATTCAAAATCTATGCACGTTCGTTGTGTTACAATAGATGTTACTGAGTGCAAATATAATGGGCAGAGCAAGCGCCAGCGTTCCCGTGTGCGGGTTAGCGATGCCATAGCATGGCTGTAAGCGCGGCCTCCGCACGCTGCCAGCGTTGCCATAGCAACCAACCTGACGGGCGTCAGCAAGCGCCAGCGTTCCCGTGTGCGGTAGCGATACCATAGCATGGCTGTGAGCGCCGCCTCCGCGCGCGTTCAGCGTTTCAATAGCAACAACCTGACGGGGGTCAGTCAATGTCTGAGACGCGCGTGGTGAGTGCACTCGAACGCGTTGAGTGGCGTGTCTGCTAGCAAATCGATCAGCTCCTCATTCCATCTGTTGCCTGAAAAAGAGCGCATGACCAAGAAACTTCTGCAAGCCTTAGTGAGTACAGTGGATGCTGGCCGATGGACGCTGGCTTCAGTACTGCTTCTTGTGGTTAACGTTTACGGGCACGCATAACACGCAGCGCATCGAACGTTCTCGGGACAGTGTTAGGTGCTGCCTTTCACACGCTTGGGTCATTTCCGACTGACAAAAATGTCCACGGTAGCGCCACCCGCAGCCAAAGCAAGGTTCGTACTCAGTGTGAGGCGTCTTCTGTGCAACGCGAACCTCCGTTGCTCGTGCCCGTCTCAGAGGATCCTGCTTGCCGAAAAGTTTGCGACGGCGTTGTTGCGCCGTCGGACGATCCCATCAGCGACGGTCGGCGGTGCCCAGACGAGAACCCGGATTCTAACGCTAGCAGCGCGGAGAAGCAACAGGCATCCAGCGAGGACGTCGGGATCATTCGTTGGTCGCGCGGCACGCTGCAACGCCGCTCGAAGCTTAAGAACTTCATTGTGCCTGTAAAGATTGAGAAGCCGTGGGACAGCGGTTACCTCGCAAGCTACCACCGCGGCTCCTTGCAAGCTACCACCGGAACGACTTGCCAAGGAACGTCGAAAGGTGCGAAAACAACGAGCTCCAGCAACAAAATAACTGTTAAAACGAAGCAAGAGGCATGTTCAGCCGTGTTAACGTGTACTCGCATACCAAAGGCTCCTGGAGAAAAGACTCCGAAGAAAGCCCGCGGGCAAGGGCGTCAGCGGGCGGCGAAGGACGGCGCTGCCGGTTGTGAGAAGAAGACCGCCGTAGATTCCGCCGTCGAGCAGTTCGAACCCGCGGCAGTTAAAAAACTGAAGGCTATAGAGAGCGCCTTAAAGGCGCCCAATCCTCCTCGAAAGCCTCACGCAGCAGCTGCAACGAAGTCGAAGCCGCGGGGACGTAAGAAGAAACAAGAGATGGTGCCTGCAGTTGGCACAGAGGTACGACGGAGAAGCGCTGGAGCTGAAGCTACACCGCGCTTCAATAAGACGGCGGTACGGCAAGTCAAGAACGGTGAAACACCGGCCCCGTTCCGCAAGGTACCAACTCAAGTACAATCGACATACGAGCTTCACCGGCGCTCGTTAAAAAACGGGAGAAATCTGGAAGTGGCAGTGACTGGCTCAGTTGCTGAAGCAGCCGCTGTGCAAGTAGCTGGGAAACGAAGTAAGTCTAACGATGACCCCCCGGTAGACGGAGTAAATGCAAGCCAAGTTAACACCGTGCCTGCAGCTGACAAGGCTCCATGCACAGCGTCGACAAGCAAAAGTGACTTCGTGCCGCACGGACGAAATTCGTCTTTGGAAGCTTCGGCTGACGTGATGGAAAGACGCACAGACCATGTGCCACAAGGGCGGTCCACTGCGGCTTCCACACGGCTCGAGCATGGATTTGAGGCCTGTATGTCTGCAAGATGAAATCAGCGTGGCTTTTGAATACTCGACGTCGCGGGGTGTTATTTTGTTTCCGGACTGGGCTGCAGGTTTCCAAGCAACGCTGCCCTCCACAGCGGTGCCCGATCTGGAGGGGAGTGCCGATGAAGGAGTCGTGAACACCGAGGCAAGCGCTTCCGCCACGCTTCAGTACGCGTCGCCGCAGAGTCCTGTTGAAAGCAGTTATGCCCGCACTTGCAACGAGGCTACTTCGCCAACGCAATCCCAACGCAGTGCCGCTACCAGCACGCAGTCTGAATGCATCGAAGATTCTCACGGAACGCAACATGATTCTATCGTGCCTGTGGAGGCATCAAGCCCTGGCCCGGTTGCTGCAGGAGAAATTATCGCACGTGAGCCATCAGACAAAGTCGCCACGATCGAAGAAGCTACATCTGCTGCGCTCGACGTGATTAAATCGACTAGTGAGACGCATTCCCTTTCGTCACCGGGTGCTTCCGCCCCGCTTGAGTCCGCGTCTCCGGAGAGCATTCCAGTTGAAAGCAGTGACACCCGCACCTCCAACGAGGCTGCTTTGCCTACGAAATTCCAACGCAGCGCCACTGCCAGCACGAAGTCTGGATGTATCAAAGTTTCCCAAGGAACGCAATGCAATTATTGTGTGGCTGTGGAGGGCATCGAGCCTGGGCGAAGGCACTGTGGCAGAGTTCATGGTGTGTGAGCCATCAGGCAACGTCAGCACGATGAAAGAAGCTACATCTGCTGAAGTCGACGCGATGAAATCGACTGGCGATCCGCATTCACTTTCGGCGCCCGGCGACTACAGAGACGAATGGAATATACCCGGGAGGAACTCTGATGCAAGGGCAGATAATGAAGGAATCAGCGCGGTTAGAGACGCCGGTGCTGAAGAGCCCGTTTGCTGGCGAGAAAATTCCTCAAGCAAGAGGCGTTGGAATGACGATGAAGTCATATTCATATCGGAGCCAACCCCAGCTGTCGTCGAAAGCGTTCAGAGAGAGTGTGCTGACGGCAGGGAAGTGTCGAAATGTGCGAGGGGCCCAGTCCCCTACGATGTATGGCAAACAACATTGGTGGTGGGCGGCAGGGCACTCCACAAGGGTCTCGAAGTTCTGACGTTCACGCCAGCTGCAGCAATCTGGATAGCTTGTTTCATCGAGTTAAAGTGAGGATCATCGCACAGTCGGATTCATCTACGGAAGATATCATGAGCGAAGTGTTATGCCGACGCCAACATGCGAGCACACACGCTCAAGAGAATATGTCGCTCGCGAGCACTGAAGCAGTCATGGCAGCGCCCGACGACCAGCCGCGTCTTGTTCCACCAGCGCACCCTTTTAGTGATACGGTGCGTGGGAGCTTGTCAGCTTTGCGGAGACAGCGAGCCATGGACGACGATGACGTAATTGTAGAGGTGTGCGAGTTCTCCCGGGGCGGAAGACATTTCAAAGACGACGGCGTGTCCAGTAGAAGCCTCTGCCACTGTAGCCATGCATTGTCGAGTGCATTGCCTGCGCGAGCCATGGCTCGCGGACCTTGGGCTGCGACATCTGGAGGAGCAAACACGACCGATAATCGAGCCCGTAGGAGGACCTTGCTCTTCGAGACGAACGCGATGCGAGCTCTGCACGTGCTGCAGCTCTGTCAAGACGAGAGGAGGAGGCGCGTGGTTCTCCAGCTGTACAACGAAGGGAAGAACAGCCTCGTGAAGGAAGCCTACGCAGCCGAAATGCACGCCCTTGTACGCTCCGCCATCGATCGCGTGCGCCTGGACGACAGCGCGTTCGCCAAGTTTCTGGAGGATCTCTCCAACGCGGAGTGGCTGTTTCCGGAAACGCCCAGTCACTGTGGCGGTGGACCGCAGTTGCGGAACATGCGTGACCTGTCGTGAATATTATTTCCAAGTTTGTGCTGAGACCCTGCCAAAGTTGCCCACCGCCAGGCCGTGTGTATGGCATCCCTCAGCACAAAAGCAGCGTCGATTTCAGCCCTGTATTGAGTGTCTTACGTCTTTTGTTGTGTTTCTCTTTTTTTCTTTGCTTATTTCAGCAGTATGATTCTGTGTTTCCTTGTTTCTATTTGTACTGCGACGCCATGTTGTATACCATTGCTGCGTTGATGCGTGCGTGTGGAAATTCTCAAGGCTCACTGCATTTCAGATATGAAATAAAGAGTTTGCGAGTAGGTGATGACGCTGTTTCATAAATACTCGCTGAGGCACTGGTGTACGGAGAACCGCGCTCGGTATCTCCCGCAATACTCTTAATGCCTATAGTAAACATGCTCACGACGGATAAACTTCGCGCATGCTGGAGGTTTGCGTGGGTTAAGCATCGCTAGAAAAGAGTGGATTAACAAGAGCAGTGCTTACATAGCCGGTAAATGCATACGAATAATGGTTGCCCCAATGCAAGGTAATTGCACTGTAAATATACAAGCTGAAGCTTACGGGCGAAATTTTTCGGTACAGAAGGGCGTATAGTATTAACTGAATTGTTCAAAACACATAGGTAATTAGCAGTTATAATTGTTAAACGTAGTGATTAGTTACTCATTCTACAGGGATGCACTTAGCGCAACCTCTGCAGTCGTCCTCGCAGCAGTAGTTGCAGGGGCCATTTAGGTCACATGCATGACTGCTGGGGTTGTGTCAGTAAATAAATAAATAAATAAATAAATAAATAAATAAATAAATAAATATATGAAAACGAAAGGATGATGATGCTGGTGATGACGGATGATAGGGATGCTTTTCAAATGAATAGAACTAAATTATGAGGATAATTTCTAACGTAAACTCAGTATCATCAGCAGCATTCTTACGGCAGTGCTGTCCGAGGGTTTTCGCGGTGCTAAATAATCTGCCGCGGTGGTTTAGCGCTTAGGGTGCTCGACCCAAAGGTTGCTGGTTCAATTCCTTTCGCGGTGGTCACACTTTGATAAAGGCGAAATTCTAGAGAACCTTGTATTGTGCGATGTAAGCGCACGGTAAAGAACACCATATGGGCGGAAGTTCTTGATCCCCTGTATACGGCATGTATCATAATCATATCGGGGATTTCAGATGTTGCAGCTAAGCTATTATTATTATTGATATTATTACGTTCGGAACCAAAAAATCAAAAAAAGACCAATTGATTTATTAATATGCGGGGTTTAACGTCCCGAAACCACCATATGATTATGAGAGACGCCGTAGCTGAGGGCTCCGGAAGTTTCGACCGCCTTGGGTTCTTTAACGTGCACCCTAACGTGCACACACGGGCGTACAACATTTCTGTTTCCATCGGAAATGCAGCCGACGCAGCCGAGATTTGATCCCGCGACCTGCGGGTCAGCACCCAAGTACCTTAGCCACTAGACCACCGCAACGGGGCAAAAGAAAAAGACCGTTGGTTGATATTTCTGCCTTAAGTGAAATTCGTCTTTACAAAAGTAGTTGGTTGTTTATAGTGCGTCGAGATGATGATGATGATGATGATGATGATGATGATGATGATGATGATGATGATGATGATGATGATGATGATGATGATGATGATGATAGATGAGGAGAGAGAAGAAGAAGAAGAAGAAGAAGAAGAAGAAGAAGAGAAGAAGAAGAAGAAGAAGAAGAAGAGAAGAAGAAGAAGAAGAAGAAGAAGAAAGAGAGGTCGGCCTTGAAAGTGGGTTTCTGGCCTGCTACTCCACACGGGTTAAGGGGAAAAGGGAAAGAAAGAGGAGGGTACGATGAGGGTGATTGTGATACAGCACAATGAGTCACTGCGCAGATTGTCTCGTTCGTTTTAAGCACACGCACAAAAGTCTCTGCATTATCAGATTCTCTAAAGACGGGAATCTAAACCTGTCTTGCTTAGATATGCGAGCAGGCCCATTAAACTACGTTGAGCGTGATCCACACGTTCCCAAGCACCCAATAGTTTTCTCCTCCAAAAAGGTCCGGCATTCTAGATCATCTGTGAGGCACTCAAGAGATTGTCTTTCAACTGGGTATAAAGGACCCACACACAGGATGTGATGGATAGTTTCTGGCGTGTTACACAAGTTGCAGTGAGATTTTGCTCTTGTCCTATCATGCATAAGTATCGTCGGATGTATGCAACACTCAGCCGCAGTCCATGTAGTAGCGTTTTCTTGGTATCGCGTTAGTCGAAACGGAAGGCGAAAAACAAGACAAGAGTCAAGCCTGTAAATGCACTTGTGGTGGTAATCCGAATCATTGCATAGTCCTTGCATTGATGTCTTCGTACGTTTAGACAGCAAGGCGTTGATGTCGTATCGGGAAAAGTTAATCGATATCACTTCGCCACTAGTGTGCGCCGTTTTCGCTTCTGCATCAGCTTGTTCATTTCCAGCTATGCCACAATGACTGGGAATCCATTGCAACGCATATCGTTGCGTCGATATATAGAGCTAGTGCACTGTATATTGGCGTTTTGCAAATGTAGCACCGCTTTGTGTGGATCCACCCACGTTGACGCCAAGTGGCGCATCTGCCTTAAAGCCCATAATCATTATTTATGGAACATTCGCGGTCGATGAAGTCGTTAACACATACCTGGAGTCCACATATGGGGTGAATGTGGTGAATGCAAGGCTGAATACCGCGCAAAGATGGCAATATAGTATAGCTTAGTATGCACCCTTTCAAAGCGTCTTGAAACGCAAAAGAAACGCCAGGTGCTTCATGTGTTCGCTCTAGCCTGCCGTGATTTCTCACACAACTAGAATGAAATATTTCACAAGTCGAGCGCGGATCGCGGTGACGCAGTTCGGGAGCCAGGCGAGCGTCGAAGAACTGTATTCCTATATAGATGAATGCTAAGAGTGAAGGTTGGGTAACAGCCACCTCCTCCCGTTGTGCCAGAACGTTGGAAATATTAGGCTTGTATTGGAAACCCGCCGAGTGGACAGTAATAATAGCGACGGCGCGTTCGCTGGGCGAAGCGCCTAAGCCACGCATAAATTTACAGTCCCTTCCAGTTTCAGACAAAGATTCTGTGATCAGAAGCACCGTGAGAAAGATAAATGACGTGTTCGCGTAAAGGCACTGCCCGCTGACCACAAGGAGTGGCGTTGCTCGTATTTCCCCGTCTCAAAGTCTCTCACAATCGCCGTTAGCGGCATGCAAAAAACAGACGCGTGCGCGCGTCCCTCATATGTGTCCCGGCCACAATCCGTCGACAGATGCAGGGCGCGGACGCGCGCGTCCGCGTTCCATCGTTTACCGAAGCCGTCTCAAGGTTGCTTTTTTTTTATACGCTAGGCTATGTATTCTGGCGCTGCAATCAGACTGGAAAACTTGACTGAATGGCGCAATCCGCATCATGTTTTACGCGGTGCACGAAGTGGGTTACACCCACGCATTGGTTAAATAACCACCGGCCATTGTTCGTGGATCCCAAGGTGGTGGGTCCTCCTTCCAGAACCGGAACACTTTATTTTTGCTTTTTTAAAGTTCACCATTTAACTGTGTTCATTTGGCTGACGTGTATTACGTCACGAAAGTCTCGGTGGACCTGGGCATAAAACTCTTTCGTGTTAAATATGATTGACGCTTACTGGCCAAAGGTGTCTCATATGCAGAATCATCATCATCATCAGCCTGACTACGTCCACTGCAGGACAAAGGCCTCTCCCATGTTCCGCCAGTTAACCCGGTCCTGTGCTTGCTGCTGCCAATTTATACCCGCAAACTTC